TGAGGGTGGTTTGGGGCAGAGGATAACTGCCTGGAACTGTCCTCAGTGTTGGCAGATGTTTGGCAGCTTCACTCTCTCAGCCCAGCAAGTGTCTGAAAAATGTAGGGCAGGATTTCAGTTCGGCCCCGCATCCACACAGACGAGGCCACGATTCTACTGTTCGACCCCGAGACCTGGGTTGCTTCTCGACCACCTATGGCATCAAATGCAGCCATCTGTGGCACAGCTCACAAAGGACTTCTTTCTGCTATAATTGGGGTTTTCTTTTCTTTCTTCTTTTTTCCCCCTGGATCGTATGGTAATTTTATTTTTTTTAAAGATTTGTATTAAAATATAGCTAACCTACAATATTATTTTAGTTTTAGGGGTACACCATAGTTATTCAACATTTATATGCCTAAAGAAGTGATCACCATAAGACCAGCAACCATCTGACATGGTACCTCAATCACAATATTATTGACTATATTCCTTGTGCTGTATATTACATTGACTTATTTGTTTTATACCTGGAAATTTAAACCTCTTATTCTCCTTCACCTTCCCCCCACCTTTTTAATTTTTCAATTACAGTTGACATTCAAATATTATATTAGTTTTAGGAGTACAGCAGAGTGGTTAGACATTTATGTAATTTATGAAGTGATCCCCCCAACTAGCCTATTATCCTCCTGACACCATACATAGTTATTACAATATTATTGACCATATTCCTTATGTTATACTTTATATCCCTATGACTATTTTGTAACCACCAGTTTGTACTTCTTAACCCCTTCACCTTTTTCACCCCGCCCCCAACACCCCTTCCATCTTGTAACCATCAGCTTGTTCCGTGCATCTACAAGTCTGTTTCTGTTTTGTTTGTTCATGTATTTTGTTCTTTAGATTCTGCACATAAGATCATATGGTATTTGTCTCTCTCTGTCTGACTTATTTCCCTTAGCACAATACCCTCTATGCCCATCCATGCTGTTGCAAATGGTCAGAATTCATTCCTTTTTATGGCGGGGTAATATTCCATTGTATGTATGTACCACCTCTCCTTTATTCAATCATCTATTGATGGCCACTTAGGTTGCTTCCATATCTTGGCTATTATATAATTGGAGTTTTCAAATTCAGCTATGTTCCTGTATTAGGTAACAGGTTAAAAAAAATGTGCAAGGCTGATTCATTTTACTGTGACCTCCATATTTCAGAAAGATTACGTCTAAGTCACAACTGGCTTCCTTGGCTTTCCAGATAAAATGTGCCTCATCGTTCAGCGTGTGCTACAGCATGTGTTACAACTTTCCAACTTCCTTAGCCTTCTAAGGTGCTCCTTCCTGACTGCAGAGTTCAAATAAATACATCCGGTTCCTGCCATCTTTCCTACGAACAAGAATAGGATTCTCCTTTCGTTTAAGCCCTCAGCTGCCTTACAGAGAAGCCTGCTTAGCAGAGGCTGCAGGAAGTTCCCCCAATTCACCCAGTTCTTTCGCTTCCTCATCTGAATGAGGGGTCTCCCCTAAATTTAGGCCCCTCTGTGGTATTCCCAAATGGATTCCTGGTGGATATTTTAAAATTCTGAGGGAGAAGTTAGTTAGAAGCCAGGAACCGACAAATAAAAGTCATTCCTTTTGTTTCAGTTTCTGGGTTACTTTAGGTGTGACAATGAGCCACAATGACCATAATGTGTTATTAAATCTAAAATTGAAATGACCACTCTTGGTAAAACACCTCCTCTCATCACCTGAATTAACGCCTTGGTGCTGCCTATGATGAAGCTGAAAATTGCTTCTATGCTTGTAAACCACTCCACTGGCCTCCATTTGCACAGACTAACATTCATGCGCTTCTAAAACGCATCCCACTATAACAGACCAGGTGACAAAGAAGAAAGGGAATTTGAGGACAGAAAATTACAACAGACTTAATCTCCCATTTCTCCCCTAAATTAGAAATTATTTCTGTTTGGTTCGTTTCTAGTCTCATTTACCTTCATCCCAAATTTCAGGATATAATTGGTGGAGGAAACTACGGATTCTTCAGTCTGTCAAAGGATGAGGGAGGAAAGCTTTTAACAGGTAATTAAACACCGAGTGATAAGGTTCTTGCTGAGACTCGAGTCCCGAGGGGTTTGGAGCAGTTCCTGCCCTGTAGCGGGCATTCAGTCAATACTTCTCATGTGAGTGGAAGCCGCTCTGCCCAGGCGTTTCTGGGCCTATTCAGCATATATGTATACACAGAGTACTTTATTTCTGCACAACTCCCCATGGCTATGTTTGGTGATGGTGATGGCGGACTGGTGGACTGGCGGGGGGCCGAGGACCCACCTGTTGGGATTGCTCTCAGGCCCATCCAGACCAGCTTCTTGAGACCCTGCTGTCCTGGCCATGGTCAGCTGTCATAAATCAGCTCACTCCTCCTTTCTTTGCTTTACAAGCTCTTATGTGGCTTGCGAATAAAATGTTGTAGCTTTAATTTCTTAATAATTGGCCCCGGGGCATCAGTTGTAAATCAATTCTCCTCCAACCTGCCTTTTTACAGTAACTCTCAGTCCTCAGCTTGCTGAGTCTCCCATCCAGGCCTTTTGAAGGTGTGTCTTCTCACTTATGACAAAAATAAGGGAAGTTGCTGCCACCCCATTTTCTAAGAGGCGACTTTCCTGCTCCCTCCCCAGGCAGAGTTTTTCCCCAAATCTTTCCTTAGATTTCTTATTAAGTCACTACTTTTAGTATCGAATCCTTTATTTCTCCTTCTTAGCTTTGTGGGTGTTCTCTTTCCTCAGCTTTGCTAACATTTCTTGTTTGCTTGTGCAAATCTCATTACCAAAACGTTACGAACCCTACCCTTTCTGGTCAGTTCACCATCTTTTTGTCCTTCCCCACCCACCACTCTCTTGGGACATCACTCTCAATGTGCCAACCACAGCAGGGCTCCTGACAGTCCTTATTCCAAAAATGAGAGCCTCTTTAACAGCCATCAGCGTCCATATATCCCCGTAATATTCTTTCAAAACCCCCACTTTGTCCACGAAGCCTTTGTTGAACATAATCTCTCTCTCTGTTGCCAGGATAGCTGCTGGTGCAGCGGAGAACGCTCCTCCTATCCTGTGTCCCATCCCTCAGTAGGCATGTGGGGTTGTGAGGGCCCTGGGGAGAAATCTTAGTCTCATCTGTAGCTGCCTTGGTCCTTGTTAGACCGGTCATATCATCATCTGGGGAAAGACACCATCTCATGCCTTCAATGCTTACACTCACTGGGGCTTCCTACTTCTGTCCTCTTCCACTGTTCTCCTTTTCTAAGTCTTTGAAAAATTTAATAGAAATGCATGTCATACATCTCGTTGGGTGTGCAGGGGAGATTTTTAGAAAGTCACACATGGGAATCTATGTGAAGATTTTTCTTAATTAAAACAAATTTTTTTTTCTCAGTCACACTTAACAGTTGAATCTTCAGTGATGGGAGGTGCCAGTTGATTGCAATGTGAACAAGAAATGGTTCTGAAGTCTCGAGCATTTCCGTGACTAAAGTCTCCTTGGGTGAGTTCCCTAACAGTGACAACAGGAGTCTCCTGAAGGGCCAGACTGCTCCAGAAGCAAGACCATGACTTCCAGGTGTGTGGAGGGAAGTGAGAGAAGAGCGAGGCCTGAAGGATGACTCATCTGAGATGAGGGAGCAGCGCACCCACCAACTCCAGTCCCTGCCACTGCTCACAGCCTTTCCAGAAGCTTGATGAGGTGATAAGAAACATGTTATACACAGGTTTGTGTTGCTTAGCATGGGATCTCAGGGGAAATAAGACAGGAATAACCTGAAAAGTATAAAGCGGAATAAGGATGATAGAAATGCCACCTGAGGAAAATTCAGAAGAAGGAAGTCTTAAATACAGTCCAACAGGGACCAGGGAAGTCTTCAAGGAGGAGGCGGCTTGAGAGCCGAGTCTTGTGAGGGTGGAGAGGAGTGGTGAGAACAAAAAGGTGGAGCTAACAAGGTACAGAGTGGGTGCTTTTCAACAGTTAGTAGGACTAAAACCACCTCAGGCATCTGTTTAAAATGCAAGCTCTTAGGCCACACCCCCAGAGATTGAGTCAGAATGTCCACAGTGAGCCCAGGGATTGGAAATCCTCAGGACCCCTAAAGAAGGTGCTCAGGCTACAAGCATCATGGAAACCATGGAACGCAGTTTCAGGCAATTGTGAGTACCTCAGTTTGGTTTAAATTCTCGATTTAGAATAGGACTTATGAATGAAATACCTGCAGGAATCAGGCTAGTACAGGAGATAAGAGAGCTTGATAGGATAAATGCAAATGTAAAAACTGTTTCTTCCTACAGTTCAGGGAACAACAGCTACATCGCTCCAGTAATTACTGTCAGTCAGGAATATGTGTCCCTGACACAGAGCTTTCTGTTTTCAAGAGAAGCCTATAATCTGGGTTTTATATAAATCCTCCCCATCTAATGATTAAATACTGGACTAGGTTGCCATGAGCTCCAAACAATTTCACAAGGGCCACTAGTTGGCAAGAACGAAGGGGAAGAATCAAATCTATCGTATGTGGACTTGGATAATAGATTAAAATTGTGTTTCTTCTGGTAGACAATGAAAAAAAATAGAAGGTTTCAGAGCAAAGAAGGGAGCTAATTGTACAAAAATTCATATGGCTGCTGTGTACCTTTGGGATGAAGTAGAGAATGGGCCTCAGGAGATCACAGGAGGTGCTTTCAATTGTGAGAAGGGAATAGAAAGGAAAGGCGAGTATGAAAGTTGGTGGGAAACAAGAGTTGAGGAGATGGACTGGCTGTGGAAGGAGGAAAGAGAAAGCAATCATCCAGAGTTCTCTAGGTCTAAATCTGCACTAACTCTAATCACCCCTTTTCTTTAAAACGTACTTACGTTTCAGTTTCATTCATTCTGCAAAACAGATAATTTAGATGCATTCTGATAAGTGCCTGCTTAATAGGGAAATTCAGAGTCATTTCTTTAGGGGAGGAAAAAAAAAGCACAGACAAATTATTTTATAGTATCTCTAATAAATGCAAAGAAATCAATACAAACAAAAGTTGGCTTTAGCAAACTGTACATACATAAATATTTTTTTTTACTATAACATTTAACTTTTTTTTCACATAAAGCCTTCCATGATCTTATTTATTACATCCAGTCTTCCAGTTTTTCTTTATACTTTAAAAAAAAAAGTGCCTTTCAAATTTACATCTTGTGCTTCTAAAGCAAAGGTTAGAACTATCATGCCCCAAAGGAAAACAAGGTAAAAAGGAAGCTGCCATGTAAGCTCTTAAAAATTGTATGTTACACGGTTCTAAAATCTCTTCAGGTTGCTTGAGACGAACATGGCGCTCAGGTAGCGTCACTTATTGAATGGATGGAGCAGCACCATGGGAAAGCTGCCCCGTGGTGTGCTGAAGTCCTTGGGTCTGCATAGAATGGGCCAAAGGCCCAGGATTCCCGTGTCCAGGGAGCATTGGAGGTCCTCAGTCTCTTTAGTACTGAGGCTCAGAGTTTCAAGCAATATTTCTTCCAAATCTCTTGTCTTCTATTTGCTCTCCTCCTGTCATTGTTTATCATCTGCTTCCGAAGCCATAATTTGCATACCTGGGACATGGAGGACAGCTAAAGCTGCCACATTGAGGCCATTCGCCAAGACTCGGGTCCCCTTTTTGATATTTTGGGATTGCTTTTGGCCAAATCCTTAGGCTCGCGGCACTGTTGCAGATAACACCTGCTTCGCTCAGAGCGGGGGAGGGCCATTGGTGTATCTGAGCATGGGATGGAATGACCGGGCAAAATTGTTGGAGAGGGCACAGCTGTAGTCTTCCTCTGACATGGGTACAAGGCAGGCGAGCCCGATGAGGAGCAGGAGGAGAAGCTGAAGTGGAAGAGCCGCGCGGAGCACTCTGACCAGGAAAGCCCGGCCGGACCGAGCTGGCTGAGCCTCAGAAAGGAAGGAATCGGAGCCACCTTTTATGGACCTGAGAGAAGAATCAACATAACTCAAATATCTCAGATGTTAGACGCGTGCTGCTTTTAGCTCCCTCACCTTCCTGGAAGCTCAAGGACTACAACCCAACCTGGCTTTGAGCGCCAACCTTCCACAACCTGCCCAGGGCATCTCCCCACCACCCAGTGAAGAGTTGTCTGGAAACCGTACTGATGAAAAAAATGACCATTCAGCCAGTCAATTAAAGGTAACTAACTGGGTTCAAATTCTACCCCTTAATTTAGTAAAATATTTTCCATCAACAAAGATAATTGCTCTACCCACATTCTACCAGCATAAATTAAGTAGATCCAGGATAATTAAGACGTGGATGTTTGCTGCAGTTCATCTCTGGTTTAAGACTACCAGGGGCACGGTTAGGCAAAATTAACTGCCATCAGAATCATATGAAGTATCCCATCTCGTCATCCTGGATGGGCCAAAATCCATGCAGCAAGGATAAGAACAGTCGTGGTCCTTGTGCACAGGCCCATAAAGCTTAGGTAACCTTGGAGTGTCCCCTGGTTTCATCTTGCACTGCGTCAGCATCCAGCCCTGACATTAGCGGGTTCTAAAGCTGTATGAACAAGAAAGGCAGTGGGCTCAGTGTAGAGAACACGGGTGTTGAATGACACAGAGTCTAGGCTCATCCTCTCTTTCATTAGCTCTGTGACACTGGGAAACGGACACTCATTTTCTGAGGAGGACACACTGTCACTTTGTAGGCTCCTTCTACTCAAAGTTCCACGTTTTCCTATCTATGTTTATCTTCCTATCTACTAAACTGCATTAGAGATTAAGCATGAATTTCAGATTTCATAAGAAAGACTGCCTATGAACTATTGGATACGGAAGTAGGTTCTGGGTGTGGTACCACCGTTTTCTCTTTGTGAGCATCCTTTGATATTTTGTTTGGTTACCAGTGGAAATGGTGAAGAAAGAAATGTTATTTACAAGAGGCATTTTGTACACACACACACACAACATCGCAGTAGCAAAAGGAATAGGTGTATTGACAAGACACATCCTCCCACCCTAATACAAACTCCCTAAAAGTAGTAATATCACTAAGGGTAAGGACATTGGAGAAATAGGAAGGTATGAAAACTCTTGGTCACTGTACTTTTTCTTCCTAAGAAAAACATTAAGTTTCCAGATGGACTACTCAAAACTCTTTTATGAAAACCATCAAAGAAAGATGGAAGACAAACAGGCTGGCCCTCCGGAAGCCCCAAGCATCCATATATTACACTGTGTTTCGAGGACCGTTCTTGTAGTGTAATAAAAAACACAAATCACTGGCTGAAGTTGGGACTGTTTCTTTTCTGAAGACACAACTAAAGGCTGTATAACCTTGAAGAAGTCACTTCACCTGTAAGTGCCAACCTTTTCTTCAACCCCTTCAAATTAGACTAGATGGTCTCCCGATTTGGAAGTCCCGTGTTTTATACATTTTATATCTTCTAATATTTAGTTAGTGTAGTCTCCCAACTGATAGGCCACAAGAGTTCAATCACCACCTAGTGGTGAAAGTGATTAACTGCCCTCAGGCTAAGACCGAGGAGTTACTCCTAATGAGCTGAACAGGAAGAGTTGTCTATCTTGTGATATAGAGTAGAGCATAAAAGAAGTACGTCACATACCTATCAGTGGAAGGGTAACATAGGAACTTCTTGAGTTATCTCATTATAAAATATTCATGTTAAGAGAAGGCCTCAGAGAGTATGTAACCCATCTTCTAGATGAGTCGCTAAGGATAGTTAACATTTGTTCTTCTAATTAATAGGCATCACACTAAGCATTTATCTTGGGTTCTCCCATGTAATCCCCACAATAGTCCTCAATGTGCTTGTTACCTTCATTCTATGGATGATGCTAAGGAGGCTCAAAGAGGTGAAGAACCAGCCTGAGGTTATACAGCTTGCAACATTAAGCTGTATAACATTAAGATTTTAACCCTGGAATTTTAACTTCCAGAATTTGGAAGGCAGCTATGCTCACCACTATACCACCAACGCACACAACTTCCAGAATTTGGACTCTATAGAGAGGGTAAATGACTCGCCCCAAATCCCACAACTAAAGGAAAAGATCTAGTGGACACTTAGGGTTCCAAAAGTGCCTGCCTACCACACACTCTGCCACAGTTTTTGTTTGATGACACGAATGAAGGTCGCCCAGGGCATATTATGTCACAGATATCTCACACGCAGAAGAAAAGAAGACAATACTTGTAGCCTAAAAAGCGAGTAGTTTCCTCATGTGGAAAATGAATGCCTTTAATCACAAGGCCTCACAGTATCTCACAGACCATCAGGTCAGGACACGGACAAGCGGGCATTTTGCTTTGAGACAGCTGCACAGTCTTGGGCAAGTAATTCAGTCTCTCTGGTCTGGCCTCACGTTTTCTCATTTGCAAAGAGGAGGGGGTACATTAATGTCCCCAAATCGTTTGGGCTCTGATGGGTTCTGAATTCAATGGTTTGCCTTAAAGTGTCTTAAAAAAGGGTGAGATGGTTGCCCATGAACTCTGGATTGGCTTTACTTCCTGATATCTTTCTCCTTCCCTTAAAATATGCCCTGGCAAACAACCCATCACCTGTCACAGGACGAGTTATAACAGGAGCACAAAAGAGGGCTCCATGTTTCTTCATGGTTCAATATTTAAATAAAACGAGAGACATTTCTGACTTCTTCTCTTTTGGAAACATTCAAGGACATTAGTGGTGGGTAGATTTATGCGTCTAATTGATAATACAACCTGAGTGACAGAACTGAATAGCTCCTGCTTGTCAATTATTAGCTTGTTTGAGCAACTAAGCCAAAGATCAAGATCAAAACACAGGGTGCCCACTGACGTCTGAGAACGACCAAAAGGTCACTATCTTTGGAAGATGGGTTCATATGTTATAGAGTCTGTTGAAGGACATGGCACATTTAACAGCATCAGAGCATTCCTTATTAAAAGTTAATTAGCACATGCCTTCACATGTTGAAGAATACCTACCCATGGGGAAGTAATGGGCTGAGACAGGGACGAAGAGAACACGGAGTGCCCAGTGAGCCGCCATGCAGTGGATTGCTCTTGGAAATGACCAATTTATCTGCTGGGAAAAATGCCACCCCCTTGGGGCAATAACCAGGCTGTCAACATGCCCAAGGTTTTGGAGCTTCTAGTACCAACAGGTTAATGATACCATGGTTAAAAGGGTACTTTTAATGTTTGTCTATTAACCTGAAATCACCTCAGTTTCAAGAGTCTTGGGAAATTTAACAAGAGAAAGGATAAGGAAAATGCATTGACTAGTCACTCATCATGCTCCAACGTACTTATTACATAAATAGATGCTGTTGAAATTGTTTTTCTAAAGGAAAAATTAAACATGTGACCTAATACAAGACATTTAATCAATGGAGATATTTAGATAATTCTGCCCAGCAAAAATGTGCTTATTCTCATAAGTAAATATTTTTTATTATTTTTCTCACTCCCCTCCCTCTTCAAATTTCTGGGTAAATAATTGCCCAGGAGTTGTTTCACCTCTTTCCCAAAATACACAGAGTTGTGGGAGATGGAGGAGGGTAGGAGAGAAAGCAATATAACAACACACCACACAAAAGCCTAACCAATAATGACCAAGAGATGTGAGACGCCGAATTGTGTGCATAGAATGTGACTCATCTCAAAAATTTTACATAATGAAGGAGAATAAAATGGTTAATTCTGTGCATACATCACTGAGACACAAGTGAAAAGAAACCTGCAATTCATTTCGTTACTTGTTAGCTCACACTTGCCAGTACAGAAACAGGGATTTATTGTGAGGCGATATCTAGGTTGTCTGTGATCTTGTTGCCTGGTCTTGTGTGAACAGGCTTTGTT